TATTTACAAATTTAAGGAGTAAAGACTCAGCAGACCCTGTATCAAAAAGAAAAAAAAAAAAAAAAAAAATTAAAGAAAATACAAAATGTATTGCATGTTTGAGGCATGGGAGTCGTAGACCATTTCTGAGCTATTCTTTCTCAAAAAGCATGTTATTGAAACCCTCAACAGTGAACACAAGTAGAATAGTATAAAAACTGTGTGCCCATTACTCCCATTAACATGTATGGATATGTGGCCAATCTTTTTTCGTCTGTATTCTCCAGTTTTCCCTACTCTATTCCTCTAGGTTTATTTATCTGAAACAAATGCTGTGTTTCATATTTTAATTGTAAATTCTTCAGTGTGTATCTCTAATTTTAAAAAAAAGGATGAGTGCAGTGCTCTTCTTCTTATATCTAAAAAAACCTTAATATCAGTTTCTTAAAATTAAAACATTAATTAAAACTAACAGCTTTCTCTGTCTCATCATCAGTGTTACTGTTATTTTAAAATCAAGGTTAGGATAATATTCTTCCATTATATTGTGTGTTGTTAATGTAGCTGTAGATGTCCCTGATCTCATTTTTGGTTTTCCTAATGTAAATTGTTGAAGAAACCAGGTAAATTTTCCTGTGGCTTTCTACATTCTGGATTTTCCTTATTCCATCCTTGTGACTTTCTTTCTATATAAGGTCTTTTTTTTTTTTTTTTTCAAATTACTATGCCGTCTTCCTGCGGCATCACTCAGGAGTACATAACACCTGGTTACTTTGTGTGACGTTAAGCTTGATCCGTATGTTCAGGCGATGTCTGCCTGGTGTGTCATTATCAGCTTTTCAGCTAGTGGTTTCAGCAGCTGCTGATAATGCCAACCTGGGGGCCGTGATTTCATTAGGATGATGCGCAATGATATTTAATTTTACCCCTCCTAGGGTTCATATATTAATCACAGTTATTCTATAAAGAACTTCCTTCTCACTAACTCTTTGCAAGGTGAAAAATGCTTGATTCTTTTCATTGCATTATCTACAGCTGGTCAATATGTTCTTTGGGTTTTTTTCCCCCCAGACATCACTATAAACTAAAAAAATTTTAAACATATTTGATGCATTTTAATCCATAGTTTTAATGCTCAAGTAGTTTCTTTTTTTCTTTTCTTTCTTTCTTTCTTTTTTTTTTTGTTTTTGGCTTCTTGAGACAAGGTTTCACTATGCAATTCAGGCTGCCCTTGAGCTGACTTTGTATCCAGGGCTGGTCTCGAACTCTCAATGATCCTCTTGCCTCAGCCTCTTGAGTGCTGGGATTACAGGCACGCACCACCACACCTGGCTGTGAAGTAGTTTTATTTTTCGGTAATGAGAACCTCTATAAGTTGGATCCTGAATCCTTTTCTTTGACATGGTAGCTTTTGACTCCTTGCTTTCTTTGAGATAATCCATTGTACTTTCTGCATTTCCTGCCCACATCTGGAATCAGCAATATGTCCAAAAATCCTAGGTTCCTTTGTTTCCCTATATATTCTTTGCTGAATTTAAACTCTTATGTCATTCTATTCCCGACTGCATTCTATTCCTATTCTGCTCTCTCATTCAGTGGAATGAATCTGAGGGGAAATTGCCTTTTGTATTGTACTTCCTTCAAATTGAAGAAGAAAGTAATAGTAATAGAAAGCAGTTTAGGAAGTTACAGAAAATTACGAGTTCATGTCCGTGTCACTAGTGCTTGAAAGTTGGAAAGATTAAACAATGAACGTATGTGTCCTAGAGTATCTGTAGGAGCTAACAAGGTGCTTCTTCACTGGAACTGTGAAAGCCTATCCCGTTCATTATTGATTTTAGTATACTTTTTGGGTCCTATTAAATTAGAAGGACACAATAACAGTGGTTGTGCCCAGTGTTCTATAAAGTAATATCCGAGCACTAAGATCTTTGGCACAGGAAGTAAAATAACTTTTACCTTTATCTCTGTGCCGAATCTCTGTGCCAAAGGTAAAAGAACTTTTCCCTTGTAAATTTTTTATTATATATATAATACATGTTTTACATTATAAAGCCTTAATTTAGTGGGTAATACTATATAAAATCCTATGGTTTTTGTATTGAAATAAAGAGATTACAAGTAGATTTGATAGCATTAGCATTTGATAGCAACAGATAGTGTCTGTTCACAGATACATGAAGTGATTATACTGTGAAGATTAATATAACCCATCTTTATAATCATATCTATAGTCCTTGGCTCACATTTTGGAAATGATGGTGTATAATTTAAAATTATGCCTTTATGGAATAAATGCCCCTTACTGGAATATACTTTCACGTTCATTTTTTTGTTCTGTTTTTTGCCAAGTGAGATTGTTCTTTTCTCATCAACAATTTGGATGTAAGTAAATCACTAGACCGCTGTTTGCACAGCTGCTGGGAAGTTTAGGGACGCGATTTCAGTTTTAATGAACCAAACATCTGCTTCTAGAAGAGCCCCAGGCTGTCGCTTCTGGGTAATGAACGTCTTCATTTTCCGCTTAGTGTTGTAGTGTGCTGGCGTAATTCTGCTTTAATTGTGTCTGTCTTGCCTTTTAATAGGAGCATGTGAAATGGGTTCATGCTGAAATGGTAAACAAAAACTCCAAGTTAAAGCTAATTTATGTGACGCCGGAAAAAATTGCGAAAAGCAAAATGTTTATGTCAAGACTAGAGAAAGCCTATGAAGCGAGGAGGTTCACCCGAATCGCAGTGGATGAAGTTCACTGCTGCAGTCAGTGGGGCCACGATTTCCGACCCGGTATGTACTCGTTCTCTAGAAAACCCCTCGGTGTTAGGGACCGTGCTCTTACTCAGGGCGGGGGAAATCTCTGCTTCCGTTAAAATTACCTCTCACATGGGGATTACTCATTTGTTCTTGTCTTAGTGAGTGAGGGGCCAAGAGGCAGAATCTTTAATCTCTTCGTTTCTTACTGCAGCCTTCAGTCTAATTGTCTTTATCCTGTGAAACATACATTTAGTAGCCAGCGTTATATATCTGTGTGCCATTCATTACCTGCCAGTATTTTGTCACCTTTTTTGAGGATTGGCATCTACTTCTTTATTTATCATTTTGGGTGCTTTAGCGTCTCGTCTGACTCGTCACTGTCAGAGTTCTGTGACATAGTTTAGTAACCTTCCTTCACTCTACCCGCCTAACCCTGTAGTCTGAGCCTGAAGTAAGTTACTCAGAATTGTTGCATCCAAAACATCTTCAGTTCAAAACTTGTACTCCCCCATTCCCTTGTGAGGCTTCTCACATTCATAGTGACCTCCTGATCCCTCCTGTAATCGCTGTTTATCTGTCCACGGCACCCATCCACGCAGAGTGATCTCTCTTCCCCACCCGACTCCTTCTGTTGTATTTGCCCTGGATCGCTTGGCCATCTCACCAGCCTGCTTAGGTCCTGTGCCTGAGATGCTGCCTCCGTCCGCACTTCCACGTTCTCCATTGCTGGTGTCTGGCTACTGAACACTGTCCAAAGTAAGTTACATAATTGTACTAATTTCCACTTCAGCTCGGCTTTTCATCATTCTCATCTTTTCTTTTTTTTTTTTTTTTTTGTACCAGCAGTCGAACTCACGACCTTGCACTTGCCAGGCAGGCGCTCTGCCGCTGAGCTGCATCCCCGGCCCCATTCTCGTCTTTTCACCTGTCCCTTTTCAACTCCTTGGTACCTGCCTTCCATCAAGTCTTTCATGTTGTTAACTTTCTCCTCACATCCTCACTTACACCTATTAGACTCCTCCTGCTTCCCAGAAAATTGGTGCCATCAGGAACGTCTTTCTCCTTCCGAGCATTCGCATTGTTTTTCTTTTATTTTCTACGTGTAGGTTAAACAAAGGATCGTTACTTTATAATACTTTATAAGGGTAATTATGACCACTCCCGCCTCACCCTTGCCTGCCTTCAGATCTTATCCTGCAGGTTCCTCACTCAGGCAGCTTCAGTCTCATTGAGCCCGTCTAAAAGCACAGCAGAAACAACACTTCCACCTTTTCTCCCCCTGCACAGCGTTACCCTGCATCTGTTCTTCCCTTCATCATCAAACTTCTCAGCTCACCACCTGCGCCGTTACCCCTTGAACTCATTGCGTTCTTTCTGCCCCCCAGCACTGTCCTGAAAGAGGTCACCAGTGGCTCCACTCCCAGGACTGTTACCCACTGACCTGCCCCTCCGTCATCTCCCCACTTAGCCAGCAGCGTTTCACCCTGTGCACCTCTGCCCTCGCCGCCCTCCCCTCCCCTGAGCACTACCAGGGAACACTACTGAGTTTCTTTCTCTCCGTTTGCATCCTCTTTGTTCCTCCGTAAATATCAGTGTTCTGTAGGACTCTGACTTCAGTCTTTACCTTTTCTTACATTTCTTCAGGGATAGTGAGCTTGTGGCCTGAAAACTGAATTTCTAGTTTTTTTTTTTTTGTTTGTTTGTTTTTTTGGTTTTTCTCCGGTACCGGGAACCGAACTCACGACCTTGCGCTTGCCAAGCAGGCGCTTTTGCCGCTGAGCTAAATCCCCAGCCCCAAGCTAAATCCCCAGCCCCAGTTTTTTGAATTATTTGGGACTCTGCTTTTTTAAAAGCTGTGATTTAAATGCTAACAGCTGGATGGACGGTCTCATTTTTACTGAGAACCCCGCTGGGGTGACTACATGGTTCTCCACACAGTTCTTATCTCGTGGCCACTAGAGAGTTCTGGCTTTTGACCCTGCCATTACATTTCAACCTGAGAGATCTGATTACTTAAGATTATCACCCTGGCTTCTGTGTGACCATGGCTTACATTATCTCCATGGATCTGCTGAGATGCGGTAATAAATTATTCCCATACCTCATTATCTTCTAGAATTCAAATTTATCTTCCAATTATTTGAGGAATGCATATATAAATTAGATCACCAAAGCTGAATTCCTCCCTAAAGATGTACTCTTTCTCCCTCTGTGCTGCAATTGGGGATCATTGTTTGCACCACCGGGCTGCTAGACATCCTCACCAAGAACTTCAGATTTTTCTTCCCCTCTCTTGAGGCCTTTGGTTTTTTTCCCTCTTCTCCCAAGCAATTTCATTTTTCATCTTCTGTGTCTTAGAAAAACTTTTTAAGCACACATTTGCTTAGGCCAAAACTTTAGTAGTTCACGCAGTTTCTCAGTTTCCATGGGGCTTGATTTCAGGATCCTAGCATACTCCAGAATCTCTGGGTGCCCGGGCCTTACTGTGGCTTAGAGCAAGAATGTCCTGCAGGGGCCTCATGTGCTCATAGCAGGGCTTTTTAGGGCCACTGAATCCTGGGGACAGGAGAGCTGCCTTGCTGGTGGAAGGCGGGGTCTGGTCAGAAGAGGAGGGTCACTGGGGGTGTGACTGGGAAGGGTCCTTCTCCCTTCCAGGCTCCTCCCTTCACTTTTTGCCTCCTGGCTGGTGTGGCGTGAGCAGCTGTCCTCTGCTGTGCCCTTCTGCTATGCCAATTCTGCTTGAAAGTGTGTGCCGTAATGCGGCACAGTATCTATACACACACTGTGCGCGTTCTCCTGTGCACTTTAGATCACCTGCAGCTTACTTATAATGTGTAATACAATACAAATGCATGTACGTAGTTGTACTATGTTGTTTAGGGGTAATGAGAAGGAAAAATTCTGTGCAAGTTTGGTATAGATGCTGCTTTTTCTAAATGTGTTTGATGAGCAGTTCATATCGAATCTATGGATGAGGAGGACTGACTGTATGTATCACTCAGGACCCAGTGAGGAGACAGGAACCATTTTAGTTATTTGAAAACAGGTAATTTTGTATAGAATTGTTGGCTGGCTGTGGTAGCTCATGCCTACCATCCCAGCTACTTGGGAGGCTGAGGCAGGGGGATTGCAAGTTTGAGGCCAGCATTTGTAACTTAGTAAGACCTTTTCTCAAAAAAAATTTTAAAAGGCAGAGGGATTTAGCTTAGTGTTAGAGTGCTTGCCTGGCATGCACAAGGCCCTAGGTTCAATCTTCCAATACAGGGGAACAAAAGGTTAAGTAAAAACTGATTAGGTAAATAATTACTATGTAAAAAACTCAAAGATACTGTAGAAGTACAAATTGGAGGAAGCAGCTGTAATTTATTTATTTATTTATTTATTTTCTTTTTGAGGCAGGGTCTCCCTGTGCAGTTCAGGCTGGCCTTGAGCTTGCTTTGTAGCCCAGACTGGCCTTGAACTCCCAATGATCCTCCTGCGTCAGCCTCCCGAGTGCTGGGATTATAGGCGTGTGCCACCGCGCCTGGCTTGCAGCTGTAATGTATAAGGTTAGAGGAATAGGAAGAAAAGGCTGGCAATAAAAAGGAAATAAAACTTAGAAACTTAGAGGAGGCGCCTGGGGAATGGCACGCAGACCCTGAGGAGGCAAATCTCCTTGGTCGCTGGAGTTACTTGTAGAGGTGGAGACCAAGTGGACCTGTGATAAAGATGCGTCTTCAATGCTGGGAATGCTGCCAGCTGTGTTCAGCTGCTACTGAAGCCAGGTAGTGCTGCTCAGGCTAAAGAAGCCTTGCTGCGGTGACATCCGTGGGACCCTGAGCACGCCCACAGCAGCTAACAGCCCTGTGGGTGTCCTCTGGGTCATCTGGCAAAGCTGACATGTCACGTGCAGAGTACAGAAGGGTCGGGTTGGAGCAGAGGAAAATACCTGAGGTGGTCACACGTCATCCTTGACTTGTCCCACCTCTGCATGCCCCACCTGCCCCCAAGTCCTGACAGCGCCACCTCTAAAATGAATCTCAGGTGTGTCTTATTGCGCTGGCCTGTCTCTTGAGTCAGACTAGGCTCCTTTGCACTGGTCTCCTAGGATAATTCTTTAACTAGTCTTTGATTCCAGTCTTATGCTTTGATAGCTCATTCTCCAGATAGTCACCAAAGTGATCTTTTCCAAATACAGGTTAAATTATGTTACTTCCCACCTGAACTACCCAGCAGGTTCTCTGTGTATTTTAGAATAAAGTTCAGAATTCTCGACTGGGCTCCATCAGGCAGTATGTGATCTGCGTCTATCTGTGTGCCTAATATCCTGTTCTTCCCTCTCATGAGGGCTTCACACCTCGAGCAGTTACCACTGTAGCAATAGACCATTTAGTGGTTTGCGCTTTTTACTATGGGGTTTCGTTGCCTTGGTCACCACTTTTTCTCCAGTGCCTGGAGACGTGCTTGGCCAGTGCTTATCTACTGATGAATGGCCTTGCATAGGACTCATTCCCTCCCCTTTGCACACTGCCCCTGCCTCCTCTGCATCCTAATAGTCACTAGGACCCATAGGGTTCTAGTTCATGTATTTCCCGTCAGTCTTTTCTTTCTGATCCATGGAATCCTGATTTATTTCATATTCTCTATTATTTTTTCTGCTGTTTTTAAACTGGTCTCCCTTTGTCCAGTCTTTTGTCTGTTATAGTCTGTCCTTGGCACTGCCGCCAAAAGTTGATTTCTGAAACATGAATCTATTTATGTCCTTTGTCTGACTTGAAAACTGCATGACACCTCTTCATATCCTAAGTCCTATCTTCTTAGAATCAACTATGTTGTTCATTGCTTTACTTATTCTTGCTTTCTGTTTAACAGTATTAGGGTTCAGGTATGGACCAGTATTGCTAGGACTGCTATAGGATAAGAGACTGTATTATTCAGCTTTTCTGTTGCTGTGATAAAATGCCTAACACGAACAAATTAAAGTAGAAGTGGTTTACTTTGGCTTAGAGTTTCAGAGGTTTCAGTCCATGGTCAGATAGCTCTCAGTCAAAAACATGGCACAGGAAAGCTACCCAACTTATGGCATCTGGCAAACAGAGAGCAGAGAAAAAGCGCAGAGGGGAAAGGGCCAGAGACCATACTCCTCAAGGCCACACCCCCCATGACCCACCTAGGGATACCCAAAAGTGTGCTTTACTAAGCTTTACTAAGCTTGTCTCTCAAGTCAGTCAGGTTGACCATGAAGATTAACCATCAGAGAGAATTATTGCAGGAGGTAGACTTTGCACAATTGCAAGAGAAACTGGAGAAATCTGAGAATTAGAGAGAAGTCACTGACTAATCCCAAAGCAGTGATGCAGGAGAATAAACAAAACTTGTAATGGACTGTGCAACTGGAATATCAGTGCCAATGGAGACCACAAAGGATAATCTTGTGGAAAGGTTTCTGTTACTGATTTAGCTGAGTAGCTGTCACTGCTATGGGCCTGTTGCTAAGCATCTGATGGAGCTGGTGTTGATTGTGAAGACTGTAGTTAGTAGGAAAAGCCCAGTGAGGAGTGGAAAAGAACAAGGCCGAGCTGGAACTGGCTGCATAGGAACTGGCTGGGCACTTCTGCATCTGTCCATGATCCTGTCTCCTAGAAAGATCTTCAAGGAGTAATGGCAGCTGGTTCATCCTACTTCCTAAGTATTGCACACATTTCTCTGTTGGGTCACTGTAACTTAGGAGTAGGCATAGAAAGAATTCTGGGAAACAGAATTCCCAGCTGAATGGATTGGATGAGAAATTTATCTAGCCTAGCACCCTACAGTTTAAAAGCCTCAGTGAACTGCTTGCTGTTGTGTGAGTGTGCTGAGCGATTTCATGCCAGTGTATTTGTAGTTTATACACTGATGAGATCGGGCGTGTTCAGGGTGGTATGGCTGTAGACTGTACACTGCATCCACTGCCTAATGTCCTTCTTCTAAGGTCAGTAAACTGTTTTGTAAACTTCTGGTTATTTTTTAAGATGCAATTCAAATGTTGCCTCTACCTTCACTCTATGTAATTTCTTTCTTCACCATGTTTTTATACTAGTCCTCTACTTTAGCATTTAGCTATTCCTCCTGCATTTCTTTTTCACTCTTCTCCAGATAGCTTAAGTACTGAAGAGACACGAAAGACCACCTAGGTAGTGACTTAGATATGTGTGACAATATGAGTCCAGAAAGGTTTCCCTGAAAAAGTTTCCATGAAAAGCAGTGCTCTCACCAAACCTCTTCTGCTCTGAGCTTGCCACTCTTGCACGATACTAGGCAGCAGAGAGGTTTTGGCTGATGGCTTCATCTTTTGTCAGTTTTAAGAGCTTCAAGTGCTATGACCAACCCTACTATCCCTTGAATCTATAGTTCAGCAGGTAGAGACCAGTGTGTAGCTTGATGGCAATGTTTAATGTTTCCTTTCTTTAACCGGAAGTTGTACCTGTGCCAAGAAGAATGTTTGTGAAGTAAGGTATAATAAAGCCTACCTATTTAAGAAGAGTAGCAGGCAACTGCAAATTTACTGTTAAAGACAGCTGTGGAGATGAAATTACAGGGGTCACTGATTATCCGCATAACATTAAGAGTGTAATTTACTTTAATCCTCTGAGAATAGAAAGAGGCCCCCTTTGTCTTTTTCAGATTATAAAGCACTTGGTATCCTGAAGCGGCAGTTCCCTAACACATCTCTGATTGGGCTGACTGCAACTGCAACAAGCCATGTTTTAAAGGATGCTCAGAAAATTCTCTGTGTTGAAAAGTGTTTTACTTTTACAGCTTCTTTTAATCGTCCAAATCTTTATTATGAGGTCTGTAACTTTTATGTCAATTTATTACTTTTGTGAAGAATAACAGAGATTATACTTTTGATGCTGTTTATTTACATGAGTAATAATGAATAATACAGTATATAAAGTATTTAACATTAGGTGATTGAAAGATATTTTAGTGCTTATTCAAATATCACTTATGCTTTATAATCCCTTATTAGATTATATAAAAGATGCTATCTTTCATATAAAATAGGCACAAGTTACATACCTTTATAAAATTTGTGTACATTCTTGTGAAAATATGGAGAGAAAAGATGAAATGATACCAAGGACTCCATTGATATCTCTGCTGAAATGACTAAATAACAGAAATAGGAGTAGATCATTAAAGTGCTGTCATGTGCCAGTATCTTACATAGATTTTGATATACTCACTTGAAAAATAAATTGACCTGATAGCTGTCTTTTCTTTCTAAATCCCTTTAAGAACAGACTTAATCTTCTGAGTTTCATAGGTTGGCTATTTATGCTGTATTTTATGTCTTTATAAAAGTAGCATCAGAAAATAAAAGACTGCATATTGAAAGTTATGCAGGGCTTCTATGCCTCATTATGTCTGGCAAATTAAAAAATAATTAAGAGCAGAGTCTGGGACATGGCAGAGGTGAGTCAGGAGTCAGGATGTGCAAGAGTAATGGCACAAAAGGACTGTGCTCACAAAAATGCACCTCAGAGCTCGTACTCGTTTACTTTTTTAATAAGATAGCTTTCTTATAGGTTCGGCAAAAGCCTTCAAACACGGAAGATTTTATTGAGGATATTGTAAAGCTCATTAATGGCAGATACAAAGGGAAATCAGGTAATATAAAAGCAAACCAACTTTGGGAACTGAAAGATATCTTCAGTAAGTAACCAGTTACAGTGATAATTGAACTGATAGGTGACTAATACCTAAAATATTGACTTATGGTGGTAGATACTTGAAAATGTGATACAGTTCACTTGATCTTAGAAACTGGGTGTGACATTTGCTCATGTCACATTTTATGAGCCATAGAACTGTCTGATTTGCTTTTATTTACACTTAATTGCTTTAGAATGGGTCTGATGACAGTGTTAATTATCACCGGCACATACTTCCCTGAGTATCAGCTGTGTGTAAGATAATGGGGTTAATTAAGCACCTGGTGGTGTTCTAAAGCGCTGTAAAATATAATACCTTACAGCAAAGGATACGTTAAAGAAATAAATAGTACTTAATAGGTTAAGTAGGGGTGGAATTGAGATTATCTGTATATGTGCTCCAGGGTTAATGACTAGGCAAGTGATACTGAAAGTATTCATTTAAAAGTCACATTTCTGGATTTTCAGAAGGTAATGGGTGTCCTGGATCAGAGGAGTTCTTGGGTCTAATGAGTTTGGGAAAGACTGCAGCTGTTTATCCTTCCTGGAGATGTGCAAGGTGTTTCAGCACATTGGAAGCTCTAACTAGCCCTGGTTAGGGAACAGAGAAGCCTCTTTAACTTTGTTGAGTGCAATGTTCTCCAGACTCATTTGCACATGAAACTTTTTTCACACCATCCTTTTTAACATCTTGTGGAGTTCTTGGACATCTGTTTGAGAAACACTGTATGTGGCACATAAGGTGGAAGAGAGAAAAGAGGTAGTAAGATCCAAAACTGGTGTCTCATTTCTGCATCAGAACAAGCTGGTGATCAAATCTTGAATTATACCCATCCGTTGCCATGTGCTTAAGAGCCTGAGAACTTCTCATAGTTCTTGTTTCCCAGTGTACACTGTATCAATCAGTGTCTTGGAATGTACCACATATATTTCTAATACCTTGTCATGTTTCACCACAGGAATCATATATTGTTTTTCTCAGAAAGACTCTGAACAAGTTACTATTAGTTTACAGAAGTTGGGAATTCATGCTGGGGCTTATCATGCCAATATGGAACCAGAAGATAAAACCAAGGTTCACACAAGGTGGTCAGCCAATGAACTTCAGGTTAAGTATATATCTTCAGTAGAAGCCTATTTACCTTTCAAACTAATTACATTTGACTTAATTAAGTAATGAAATATTAAAATATTTTAGGTAGTAGTGGCAACGGTTGCATTTGGTATGGGAATCGATAAGCCAGATGTGAGGTTTGTTATTCATCATTCAATGAGTAAATCCATGGAAAATTATTACCAAGAGAGTGGACGTGCAGGTATGTAGAACTGAAATCCAGAAGTAATTTTTAGAAAGCTTTTCCAGAAGGCACATTATAAATGTTTAATAATTCTGTATTTATTTATTTATTTATTTAATTCTGCATTTAAAAATCTTCATTAGGTAGTATTTTTAGAACAATGAAATCTTTTTATCAGATTTATGTTTATTTTCATGGGGAGAAATTTTACATATGTGCTATTGGAACATTACGCATTGTTTCTTATATGTGCTAAGATAATATTCATCTCGGTCTCTTAAATTTTTCACTAGAAGTTTCAAATCTATGAAGCTTTAAGTTTCAAACTTAAATAAATGGATAATTTTGGATACATTTTCTTACTTAATAAATCTAATATTGGCAAATCTCTAGTTGTTTTCTTTAAAAAACTTCAGAGTAGCTCTTATTAATTAACTTTGCTATCCCTAAATTTCTGGATGTAACGTGAAGCTTTGGCACCTCATTTTACATATATTATTTTTGCATCTTATGGATTTTTAAAAGTAATAATACAATCGGGATTTCTCAATCTACAGGTCGAGATGACAGGAAAGCAGATTGCATTTTGTATTATGGCTTTGGAGATATATTCAGAATAAGTTCAATGGTGGTCATGGAAAATGTGGGGCAACAGAAGCTTTATGAGATGGTGTCATACTGTCAGAACATCAGCAAGTGAGTCACACTCCTTTTTATAATTTGTCAACGAAAGACAAGTGTAGTATTAAAATATATGGGATTTTGAATACCTAATGACTATAGTACAGGTCTGTAAGAGCAGATGTCTGAGGGTAAAAATTGGTCATGAACCTTCTGTGATCTATTCAATCTAAGAAAGGAGGCTCTGTCTTTGAAGTAATCCTCCAAAACTAATTTTTTGATTGAAGGTTTTGCTACACATCCACAATGAGGTGAAGCCATCGTTCTCCGGCACTTGTACACCACCATGTGCCGTGCTAACTTTGGAAAGATGTGCGCTAGGATGGGCATCTTGAGAGTGAGACCCGGGAACTCTTGCCGTTCTCTCAGCTGATGAGTCAGGGAAATAATCCAGAACGGGGTCAAGATTCTCATTCTACAATAAATTTAAATCTACTTAAGAGTGGCTTTAGGTACAGCTCTCTGGTGGCCTCTCGGCCCTTGTCACCTTTGTACTCTTATCACAGAAGGGCTCAAAATGTGAAATGGGGAACAATAACCCAACAGTGATAGAAGGTTGTATTTTCTTTCCAGTAGCTATTACAGTTAAAAGAAATGAAAAAATGAAAATTTTGTTAGAAGTCCAGTAGATTCTGGACTTGATGCTTTAAAATACAAGTAACTCGTTTACTGTCAAGAATACTGTAAAATGTTGAATCTCACAATGACAGAGAACTTAAGCAATGGTTACAGTATGGAAATACTTTTATGTAGTGAGCGGGCAGAATGCTCCCCCCCATGGCCATGTCCAGATCCTACACAGCAAAGGGAAATCAGAGTTGCTGATGGAATTGAGGTTGCTCACCAGCTGTCCTTTAAATGGAATTGTTTTAGATTATCTTGGTGGGCCCAGTGTAATCACAAAGGTCCTGCAAGGTGGAAGAGGAGGCAGATTGATGAGACTCAACCCACTGCTGTTACTTTGAAGGAGGAGGGGGCCAGAAGTCAAGGAATGAGCACTCCCCTCTAGAAACTGGAAGAGGCAAGGACACATTTTCTCCTGAGCCTCCGGAAGAAATCCAGTCCTGCTGACACCTTGATTTTGACTCAGTGAGATGCATAGTAGGCTTCTAACTTACAGAAATGTAAGATAATAAATTTGTATTGTTTTAAGCTGTTGTTTGTAGTGATACCATGACAGGCACAGGAAACTAATAGGCTATAGAATTGTGTTCTGAAGTAGAGATTCTTAAAACTTTACTAGCTCATTTAATAATCTGTATCTAAATGTGTTTGTAGATGTCGCCGTGTATTGATAGCTCAACATTTTGATGAAGTGTGGAACTCAGAAGCATGCAACAAAATGTGTGATAACTGCTGTAAAGATGTGTGTAAGTCTGTTTTGGCAACCTATATAGGATAATCATGCACAGCTAGCATTAAATGAAGTATTAAGACTCCAAAATGCATTTAAAAGGTTCAACAAGGTGTGACTAGAATTTTCCATATTCAAGAAAATACAGAGTTTTCGGGAAAAAGGTGAATAAAAGTCATAGGTGTATATGTACATTTTATACTGCTATACTGAAGATATGAGAAATTTTTGAGGAGAAAAAAAATTGTAATTTCTCTGAATAGAAATGCTGTTATATAAAGAAAAGACTCTTAATACTTTCCAGTCACAGGTTGGGAAGACAACCTGGAGGAAAATAGATTACAGTAAATCATTCTTGGTGATGGAGGGTACTCATTAATTTAGCAGTGTTTTGGTGCTACACAGGTATGACAGAAAAATATGGTGAACATCGCCATTAATTCCTCTTAAAATACTCCCTCTTGTTTCAAACATATTTAGCCCATTGTTCTTGCTACTGGATGTCCTGTCTCTCTAGTATCTTTGGTTGTGATGTCATGGCTGCCCCAATGTTATGAACTGAGTCAAAGCATTCACCTTTCATGGTCATTTTGACTTTGAAGAAGAGTTACAAGTTCCACGGTGCCAGATCCAGTGAATAAAGTGGATGAGGATACACTGTCATACTTTTCTTTTACAGAAATAGCCTTAAACATTTGATCAAGGTATGACTAAAAAATATAGTATATCAGGTTAATAACATCCCTTCTTTATTGCGGGCTGATCAGATCCACAATCTCCCAAACAAGTGTACAGTGAAGGCTAAATAAAAAGAGGTGAATGGAATGATTTCAGGGCCCCAGGAGGATCAAAGCCCTCTTACAGAATTTGAGATTCTTTCAGGGCTAAGACTAAGACCTTCCCTGGGTGGCCCGTATTTATTTGGTTATCAGAAGAAGGGAGGGGAGCGGCTGGGGATTTAGCTCAGTGGCAAAGTGCCTGCCTGGCAAGCCTAAGGTCGTGAGTTCGGTTCCCGGTACCGGAGAAAAACCAAAAACCAAAAAAAAAAAGAAGGGAGGGGAATACTCAAGAAGAGCAGAATTACTCAAGGACTTCTCCAAGTAAGGTATTAAATTAATAAGGATTAAGTTAATCCACCTAGGAGTGAGATACCTGAGGCTATAGTCTTTATCTAGTTGAGATCAGATCCAGGTGTTCTTGGCTATGATCTTGTCTTATCCTTTGAGGCTTTCCAGCTTCATCTGCCATTACAGATGTTAGTAGGGATTAGTGACTCACAGAGGTTTACTTACTATGAGTCCATCTCCCACTTCCAGACAAGCGGCCTAGGTTTTGGACAGATTCACAAGTAAGCATAAAAAGCCAATTGGTTAATTTAAGTCCTGCTTGGGGCTGCTTTATAATGGTCTGCTTCAATGGTAAATTATAAAATATTTATTGTAGTAAAGACACATTGCCATTAATACCCGTCAAAGTATTTCCCCTTGCTTTGAGTACACTTACTCTATCATTCTTGGCAATGCGTCTTTTACTGTATACACTTTTCAAAAATTTAAATATTCACCATATTTTTTCCTCATTCCTTGTATTTAAACTTTTTTTTTTTTAATCTTGTGTTTCTGAAAAACCAGACTAATCAGACTCTCACACAAAGCCTTACTTTGATGTGTGGGTAGGTGGTGGTCACTACACTTTTAACTTTGTGGCTAGAGAAGCTTGACAGTTTACTGGATTATGTTACACTGACCAAATTAACAGGAGCCTGATATATAAGTCAGAGTGCTCATCTCTTAATTGACAACCACTGTCTGGGAGGTTCTTACCTGTAGAAACCCATACTCCCTTTCAGAATTCGAGTTACTGAGCACAAATGAGCTAACTATGAAAAACAGGTTCTGCTATATGACTAGAAGGCACGCCTCTTAATAAATGTCTGGCATACATAGTTGGTTCCTAAAGCCTTCTCATAACCGGGTTATTTTATTATTTATTCAGTTATTTTGCATCACTATAAATTCCACAGTGTGTCATAGAGACCATAACTTGGTCTAGCAATAGACTTGAACACCTTAGTCTTAATTCAGAGCACGTTACCAAAAAAAAAAAAAAAAAAAAAATTAATGTTTTAGGGTGGCTCATAGTGATAACTAGTTTTAAACCAGTTTAACTACATAGGATAGTTATCCTTGCCCTCATTTCTAAATCCCGCTTGTCAGAAACCATGCCTTTTGCATTGCAGCATTTGAAAAAAAGAACGTAACAGTGTACTGCAGAGATCTAATCAAGATCTTGAAGCAGGCAGAGGAACTGAATGAAAAACTCACTCCACTGAAACTGATTGACTCTTGGATGGGAAAGGGCCCGTCGAAACTGAGAGTGGCTGGTGTCACTGCCCCCACCCTTCCTCGTGAAGAACTGGAGAAAATAATTGCCCACTTCCTTCTACAGCAGTATCTTAAGTACACATCCAGTTCTTGTCTTTTTATTTTATGATTGCTTTTGTCTTTTAATTAAAACAGAGTAACTTTGTAGCTATTTCACCAGAACTTTTAAATGCCATAGAAAACTACCTAATAAACACCAACCTTAATTTATCACTTTAAATCGAAAAAACACAAAACTATCATGGTACACCTCAGTTCCCAAACTTAATTTGCTCTACAGTTTTGGAAAAGATGACCATGTTTGTGTTGGTGTGGGAAAGATGGATGTGGTTATGTTTGTCACCCAGTGCAGAGTCTGCAAACAAGAGGAAAATGCTAAGCACTTGTTTGTGAACCGGATTGTTTGCAAACAGAAGTGTTTGTGAACTGAGGTACCACTGCACTATAAAGATTTTATTTGTGCTGTGATAGTACTATTTCATATTAACATATCATTTAAAATTATGGTTATTTCTGAGTTTTTCTATGGTTCTTTCAAGTTTCCTGATTGTTGGCTTTTGTGTTCTGCAGAGAAGACTACAGTTTTACAGCATATGCTACTATTTCGTATTTGAAAGTTGGACCCAAAGCTCACCTTCTGAACAGTGAAGCACATGTTATTAGCATGCAAGTGAAGAAGCCCACACAGAACTGTTTCAGGGTAACTGACTGGTTATTAATTTTCAACTTCTATGTATTTAAAAAAGTTAAATCCTACGGGATGCCTTTCTATACTTCCTTCCTAGATCTAACTGAACATAAGAATAGATGTTTGTTCTCAGATTCTTGTTGTTTTATTTGTTTTTTTTTTTTTTTTGAGACAGGGTCTCGCTATTAGTTCAGGCTGTCCTTGAACTTACTGGGTAGCCCAGGCTGGCCTCCAACTTGTGGGACTCCTCCTGTCTCAGCCTCTCAAATGCTGGGATTATAGGTGTGCACCACCACACCTGGCTAGTTCTGACTCTGAGTTTCAAAGGGAGAAAACAAAACTTTGTTTACTGTAGGTAGTAAGTGGAAGAATTCAGACTAGCCTAACAGACTAAGGAGTCTCCAACCTCTTAGAATGAGAGGCCTCCATTTTAAAGTCTAATTTTGTGAGGCCCCTTCCCTTACTGAAAGGCACCAGTAAGGTGCTTACTGAAAGGCCCTTACTGAAAGGCACCAGTAAGAGGCAGATAGCATCCAGCCTGCCAAAGCATGCTATATACTCCTGTTGTCTAGGGATACTGCAAATGTCCTTTAAAGCGCTTCAGACAAATGTAGCGCCTTTTATTTCAGCTGGAGCTCGTATTTGAGTAGATACTTAGAAATGAAAATCAGACCCTGGGCACTTAGAGAACTAACTCATACAAATAGGAATATTTAGATTATTAATCTAATGAGAAAATCAAAGAACTGAACTTTAACAGGGTGCTTGCTTTATTTTTTTCATTTTTTTACAGGCTGAATCATCCAACACTTTTCATTCTGAACAAGTTGATAAAATGGGGGGAGAAAAAAATTCAGGTAACTTCCAGAAGTCTGTGAACATCTTTCAACAATCTGGTTCCAAGACTCCAAGGGGCAAGAAAAGGAAAATTGATGATGCCTGAAAAAGCTGTTATTAAATTTTCTACAAAAGGAATAGTTTATGCATGTGTACACCATTATTTTTGAAGTTAAAATTTAATTTTGAGAACAGTTTGATGTTTTATACTTGTAAAACTGTTTCTTCAGAGTTTATCTGAAGATTTGAGATCTTTTGATTAGAGATCAAAAGGAAAAATAAATCTTCATGTAAAATACTTGCAACAAGTTCATGTAAGTATGATAAGCTCTTTAGCCTTGGTATACTGATTGTATTTTTTCCTTTGGCAGAACCATCTTTTTTTTTTGGTTTTTCTCCGGTACTAGGAACCGAACTCACGACCTTTCGCTTGCCAGGCAGGCGCTTTGCCGCTGAGCTAAATCCCCAGCCCCAGAACCATCTTTTTGATAGCAGTATTATACTGACATAGGCTTCTCACTCCAGATGGTATTTTAAGCATGATAATGTACATGATTTCAGGTATAAAAATAGCTGTATAATTCAAACAAAAAAGGAGTAAGACATCAATATACATATTAGCAAATAAAATACTGCTGTATCTCTGTAGTAAAATAAAGTGATAAGCTTACTAAAACTACATTTCACAATCAAAGAACAGATCTGGCCTATTTGTGTATATTTTAGCCAAGTAGATAACCATTTAGGTAAGTATGTCCCAAACCTAGATCACAGGTAAAATGTTTAAAGCTTAAAAATGACTACGTTACTAAAGATTTCTTACCTAAGAATAGGTCAGTTTTGTATTAGAAAAATGTATGTGTGAAGGAATTATTTCCCTTTTTTTCCTCCTTGGTACCAGGAATCGAACTCAGGACCTTGCACTTGCCAGGCAGGCACTGTGCCGCTGAGCTACATCCTCAGGCTGTGAAGGAATTACTTGAACTGATTCCTTATTTAACATTTTATTTCTTTAATACTTCTGCATGAACATCACTCCGTGTTTTTACCCCACTTCAATACTGGGCATTGAACCCAGGGCCTCAGGCACGATGTCAGGTGACACTTCTGATTTAATAATGAATGGAAGTTAAAAATACAGTTCAGTCATCCATTTTACTGACTCCAGTTTTCCTTAGTTTGAACTTTATGTGAATCTTGAGGAAATCTCCTTTTAGTCAAAATAATCTTCTATATCAATGTTTGGATCTAGTAGCTCTTCTCCATATGGTGAAAGATCCATTTGGTTTAAAATTAAATTTTCAAATGTCTCCTCTAAGTCAGTTTCACCAATTAAGACAGCTCCCATCATCCGCCCATTCTGCATGACAACTTTGACGTACTCTTGTCCTTTGGTGCATCTCAGCATTAATTCATGGTCTGAACCCAAGCCTTGTGCATTGTATTTCCCCAGCAAAACAACCTACACACAGGGAAAAAAAGTGAATTCTCCTGAGTACCAAGGAAGGAAACATAAGGTGCAGTTGTTTTGGGTCATGTTAGAATAGCCTACAAAAAAACTATTCAGCAAACTTACAGCTCAGTATTATTGGGAGGGTCCCAGAGAAAACATTTATTCTATAGATAACACTGCGACCCAATTTACATTAACATTAAAAATATCAGAGAATATATTGATTTTTAGTATTTTAAACATTGGACGTATCTGGAGAATCTAAGTGGATGATACTGCACTATGTACATAAACATTAAAAGTATCTAGGGAATACGTAAGTGTACAGAACATAAACTACATTAGCCTAGAATTCCAGTTTAAACATTTAATAAGGAACTGAGTTAGATCTTTAATGGAAAGATTATTTAATTTCCTTGAAGCTTCTGATGTATTTTTCCTTATCAATAAATTTGGAGGGAAAAAAACTTGTTTCAGAATAATTTAACAAGGGTCAAATAAAATACTATGAACGAGAAAACACCTGGTTCATTCCTAAGTACGACACCTTTTAGTTTCCCTCACAAAGACGGTACCTCAAGTACAACTTAGAAATCCACCAACGTGGAACAAAGCTGGGGTAAAAGGCTGGTCTCGAACTTGCAATGATCCTCCTGCCTCAGCCTCCCGAGTGCTGGGATTACAAGCGTGTGCCACCACGCCCAGCTACATAGAATATATTTAATTATCAGGCCCACAGAAGAAATTGCATTCATTTGATTAACCAGCTTACCTTATAGTTAAAAAATTTTGTTACATGAGCAAACAGTTCAAAGCTGAAATCCATGTCAGTGTAGTCTCCCACGCTAGCTGCAGCCATGCACTTTGCAGCATACCATCCCATCTGTCTAGCCTGGGTCCACAGCCTCATCTGAATGGAAAAATGTTACATGACATCTTGTTTTCATTATCATTACTTAATATTATAATTCTAACCTTGCAAGTTCCCTTCAAGAGGTTCAGTGCTGGACACTCCTTCAGTTCAGTTGGTTCTAGTTATTATCTTCGCCACTGAAACAGTCACCAGTATACACTAATCAAGCTGACTTTGGTATTCTTTTAGTCTATCTAAATTACTGTCTCTAAAAATTAGGGAGAACACCCGCCAATCATGAATATGTTTCAGTAAGATTTCTACTAAATAAATTTCTATACAAAAATAGATTACATCAGACGGGGGTAATATTTTAATTAACCAGTCCCCTCTTCAAAGTCTGTCGTCAGCATTAGCATACATATTACACTATTATGGAAAAATTCTCCATGGTAACAGTGTAAGGGGAAATGTTTGGTCCAGTTATAAATATTTTTAAAGTATTAATTCTTTATGAAGAGGTCTAATTCTCAGTCATGAATAACTATTCTATGAAAATGTTCCACTTTCCAGTAACCTTCATTTTTCAAGCATCAGTTAAGCTGATAAACTAAAAAATTAAACATAGATATACTGGTATCACATCAGATTTTGGCAACTGATTCTGGGAAGTCATTTAGTTTTTTCTCTCTGACAGTACCAGTTCCCTTGCAACTGTATTTTTTATTCTATTTCTACAAAGTTTCTAGTGTCAGTCTCCATAAGGAAGGTAGGTTTGAAGAAGTGAAAAGCAGTCTTGCAAGGGAGCAGAGTACACTGAGCGTGGTAACACTTTTCTTAACACAGATAAATGTGGACTGGTTTTCTTAATCTGTGACATCTCCCTTGCCTCTGTCCTTCCTAAAACAGCTTCCTTTTGTCGTTGATTATCTTCCTCTAGTAGTTTTTTTTGTCCCTTAAAAGGATGCAGGCAACACTGTGTGAATGGGGAAGTCTAGAAGTCTAGATCCAGATGGAAGCTACTGCGGCTCAGGAAAGCTGTTTGCTGTCAGGAATACTATTTAGTAATAATTACCATCAGAACATTCTTTCCAGGAATAGAATGTCTTATTTATGTAATTTATGATCTCAGTGGTTTGATTTGTTTTGTTTTTTAATCTATAGCTCTGCTGTCCAGTATAGTCAACACTAGCCTCATATAGCTATTTAATTAAATGTAAATAAAAAATTTAGTTCCTCAGTCAGATCAGCCACCTTTAAAGTACCCATGGGACTCATGTGACAAGTGCCTAACCGAACAGCGCAGGATTACAGAATATTTCCATCATCAGAGTTCTGCTGGATATGCTGATAAGCATATGAGAATGAAAAGTAATAGTCCTTAATTCTTTACAAAAGATACCCAGTCTGCTCTCCAATTTACTATATAATTTACCAAAAAGGGAGAAAATCTAGTTGGTTTTTTTAATATCACAAAATAACTTTGTGATGGCTTTCTATTTAAAGCAGAAAAGTTGGAAAAGCAGACAGCTGGGTGGGTAGCGACTGCTTTAATTCCTAATGGATCCCTGATTAAATCGTGTGATCCTAAGCGCGGGCTCACCTGCTGCCAGACTGGGCTGGGCTGCCAAGACGCCGTGCAGATGTCACCTGCAGCGTAGATATCTGGAAGTGACGTGAGCATGTGCTCATCCACTTTCAGGCCACCATCTTCTCCTAGGTCAAACTGAAAGACGTTCCTCGTAAGCAGTAAGTCTAGAGAAGACTGCAACATGACTTTTTCATTGTAAGAGTAAAAGAACATGTCAAATTTTTACACTGCGGTGTGCTCATCTTCAGTGAGAAAGTAATAAACAGCTGCAAAGTCTAGGGATCTATGCCGGCTTTCCAGGGATTAAATTTTTACTGATACAGACTCATAAATATCAGAATTTCAGTATCAAAAGTACCCAATAACCGTATGATTGACCTACTCATAATGACAACATTGCTGTTTTTATAAGCTTCAAGTGCTACAAGGCAAATGAAAGTAACAGTCTCTTTAAGATTCATTTCTGAGAATTCATAACAGGTGTTAGTCTCTTAACCAACTCTTACTTAAACTGTACATTACGTCCCTCGATCACATTCATGCTGGGATGGTAACTGCTAAAGAATTTTGAGAAGTAAAGAAGACTATAAGTCAATACATGTATATAAACCAAATTGTTTTCAGCTATCTTCAGTTCTTTATTAAAATAAAGAATAGTTATTCATGACTGAGAATTAGACCTCTTCATAAAGAATTAATACTTTAAAAATATTTATAACTGGACCAAACATTTCCCCTTACACTGTTACCATGGAGAAAAGGTTCTGTATTTGGCGTAACTCCTGTTGCGCTGACAATGAAATCACAGCCATACAGCTTTCCATTGGTCAGTTCCACATATACGGGCCATGTCTCTTTAAAAAAGGAAGATTTTATTTTCAAATGTAATCAACAGAAATTACATGAATGTATTGAATAAGAACAAAGAGGTAGCAAATGGCTTTAAACAACACCCCTTAATGATTTTTATAAGGTGCTTCATTAGAATAATTTTAATACAATCAGTATCTTCTATTTTTGGTATAATTGCAAAGTCATTCTAAATGTTTTCCTTCAAATTTGGACATATACACATTTTCCCTGAGTAAAGTTAAATGGATAATCCCTTTTTAAATTATTTCTCTAAAAAACTTTATTAATACTTGATATTCATCGTTCACCCCAACTTGTTTCCTCACTTTTCAGTGTTTTTCCTCGCTATTCCTGGCCCACTTCCAACACTCTCTTGTCCTATAGAAAAACTTAGACTTTAAAGCAGTAGAATATTCCATACATGAGTGGGCTGAGTATTGCTTCAGATGCTTCACAGGAGTGTGTAGGACAGGAATAAGTTCTCACAGGAGGTGTGGAATAGGTCTTTGATCTGCATCTCTGTCTCAAGTACATAGATTTTAATCTGTTTGATTTGGGGTTGTCACCTCCAAAAACTTCAAGGGCTTTGTTTTCAATTTGTTTTGTTTTGATCTGTATTATACTGATGGTCCGATCACCATGAGCCTTATGTAAAATAGAAAATTCTGTACAAACTTTTTAGAAAATTTTTAAATAGTAAAATGAAATGACTTAATGCTAATAAATTTGGTTTTATTTTCACTTCTCTTACATAATCTTATACAGAAATTTGAAGTTTTAAATATAATAAGGTTAAATTAAACTTCTATAAATAATAACTTCTTTTCTTGCTGCTTACCATTATCTGTGGTAACTGACTTATGAGGGTCCGTTGGAAAAGTCAAGGAATTTTTCTTTAGAAGTCTAAATTCTTCCTGGAGATAGATTTTCTTCACTTCACACATGGTTTCCATGTGAACCTTATGAGAAAACTGAAAATAAAAAGAAAATAATAATAATAATAATACAGTGTTTCCAGAAAGAATGACTTGGGTTACTGAAGATAAAGAAAACATGTAGAAATATAGAGCGAAAACAATTCTTATAAATGAAAGATGCTGGATGCCCCAAAATAAGCCTCTTAGTTTACGTGTGTGAAAGGAGTGACCAGAAATTCATTCAGTACTTAAGAGATCTAGTAGTTGCCCTGGAAGACAGAATGCAGGGAATGTTTTTTAGTCTAGGCCTCACTAGTAATTACACATATACTTTTAAAAAACTGACAATGGTGAATGGACTAAAAACTTCTTCAGAGCAAGACTATCCTGACTTTACTCAATCCTGGAACCTTAGGAAGGTACAGGATAGATACTAGACAATAAATATTTTTTTGAAACAAATTACTGAAATACTTGGGTTAAAAATACAATTAAGCTTAGGATCTAAGAGTACAGAAAGAAATGATTTTGCGTACTTTCCATCCTCAAAATTAGATATGCCATGGGGCCACCTGCTTCCCACCTACCCAAAGCTGAAAAACAATGCTTTAGAGAAATAACAGAGTAATGAAGGATTACCTGGCTTTTTAAGAATATTTAAATATGGTATCTTTAAAAAACTTTAAAAATTAAAACAGCTAAGTAATACAATGAATAAAACCTAATTATATGCTTATCCACTCATGATTTTAAGTATGTATTGTGGATCCATTTAAGTGTACCACATGCTTCTGAAGTGACCTTTCAGAAAGATGAATTTAAAGTCAGACAGGTGTAGTGCCTGTAGTCTGTGTGTGGAGATCTTAATCCCTGCAGAGTTTGCAGAAACACTGAGACACAGTTTAGATGCACTTTACATAGACGAATTTATGTTCCCCTATCTTTGGTGGGCATCCAGGCCAAGTGGATTCGAAGTCCTTTCCTACCACTGCGGATTTTAAGTGACCTATGTATTTCTTTGGTTGTCTGTAATAAGATTTCATGTAGACATATTTAATCAGTATATGCAAATAGTACCTCTTTTGTTCCTTTTAGATCCAAGCCTTCATGCCAATCTGGTCCCAAGGCACTGCCCACAGTATCAGCTTTAGCTTTGGGTCTTGCTTCCTTTTTCATTCCTGAAGAAATGAACTCACGTGATATAAAACTAGGCAGGCAGAGATTTATGCCTGTATTCTGTGGCTTTTAGGGAATAACATCATTCTAATACATACAAATGTATAGCATGACAAAACCAGTTTATATTAATCATTTTATTATTTTAATATTCTGTGAAACAGCTATAAAACAAACCTTCAATTAAATGTGTATAAACATTTAACCAATCTTTTTGACAACAGACAGTTAAATTGAAGAATAAAAAATTTAGCCATCAATTTTTTCAATGTTTAGTACCTTCAAAACTTACAAAATTCATTCTGTATAGGCCAAAAATTTTTAAAAAGCTATTAAACAAAATTAAACTGCTAAATTAAATTGCAAAATTTAAATTTCTCATTGTATTTTTTAATCTTTGATAGTGCTCGATTCTAACATCTGTTTGCAAAGTTGCAGATGAGCTAGTTTATTTAAATTTCACTTTATATTTCCTATTTGAATTATCTGAATATACAGGTACATGTCTGTACATATATATATGTTTTAGAAAATCTGAAGATACAGAAATAAAGATCCATATTCCTATCTCTCAAATATATTTTGCTAAATTTCCTTAAAGCCCTTATGTATGTAGTTTAAAAAAATCCCATGTGAGAATTAATGAGCTAGACAGAGGCTACACTTACCTTCAGTTGTGTATTTAGTTCTTTTATGTGGAATTTTAGCCTCTGGTTTTTCGGAGATGAGCCTGGAAGTCAAAAATTCAGCTGCGCCTGCATCGAAGAAAGTATTCCCAATAGCTTTATCTTTAATGGCCCAAATCACTTCACAGCCTTCAATTTCATACCTAAAAGGAATATTACAGTTATGCAGAGTAACTTCAAAAGTCTAAGTAGAAATCTCCAAATAACAGTTGTCTCTTACAGCAAAAGTAAAGAACAAATTTTATGGTAAATTTGGATAGACTGATTATAAAGAGGAATGGAACATACTTCAAAGCTAAGTTATAAACAGAATAAACACTACAAGAAATTTAACCAGTTTACTGAAAGAACCTGTATGTGATAACTATATGTACTTAGTATCAAGTAAAATTTTATGAAATGAGTATCATTTCAGAGTGTTGAAGTGTACGTCATAGTTGTATGAATGTCCTCCAAGGTTCCACATGTAAGCATTGCTTTATCAGGCTAGCGTATGATCAAGAAAGAATGTATAATACATAGCTACAATACCGGGAATAGGTGACTTCACTGGTGATTAATTTTTTATGTATTCAAAGCACCACTTTATGTAAGAGGATAGAAAAAGGAGAAAAAGTTACAACTTAAAAATCTTCAGTTATAAAGAACTATTACCTTCAATTTTCTTCATCTCATAAATTATCTGGTTCATAAAAAGATCAGACTTTACAGGAAAAAAGGAATGGCCCTGGCAGTGGACTCCACTTTCCATTACTCTACGCGGTTCATTTCCAGGTGAGAACGTAATGAGAGTTTCACTAAGCCCCCGAAGTCCCTTACAGTTCACATAATCATATCACCCGTCATCTAACCCAAGATACTGTCTCCTAATAATGATTATTTTGATCATGATATAAATGGGGACAATATCAGACAAACAGGACATAGGACTTTTTTGAACTTGCAACAGTTATAGGAATATTACATATTAATATGAATTCTAACTTTAACATTTCAAGGATATAAATTATTGCCCCTTTTTCTTTCATAAACTGATATAATGTAGTTAGATTAAATGACTGTTCAAGACTAATCAATGAACAGGAGACAGAAAGAAGTTTAGTTCACCTAATTCCAGGTGAAGTTACATTCATGCTTTTAGCACGTGCATGAGCAGCCCCTCACTTCATGCCTTTATTTTTCCTGCTCCCCAGGGCCAACGAATGTTTATAGTCACTAAATCTCAGAATGTTCTTTTTCATGGGATAGAACATACTATTTTATGTTGCTCAGATCATATAGGATTGCTGCTGAGCAGAAAATCGAATACACACACGTGGTAACTAATTTTATATTTCACTTTACATATAGGCTATTGTTACTATGGAATACGTTATTAATAAATTACAAATTTTCATATAATTTTCATATTTTAAAGTTAATATAATGGTATTAAACATATCACTGTAGCTTAACGTACCAATGACTGACTAGCAGGCCTGGTACTGGAGTAAGCACCACAAGTGATTACTGTACTTGTCCTCCCTCACAGGATTCTCTAGTTCTCTGCTGACCTCAACTGTGCGCTCAGCAAGGGGTACAAGTTTGAAAGTATCATCACACACGCAGGAAATACTTTCACCTTAAAACCACTCTAAAAGAGACTACAGTGAGGTATTACAGTTTTGTGAAATTTGGAAAAATTGTCTGTTTGAAAAGGAAAGGATTAACCGGCACTTGGGAAGAAGCAGAGACCTGAACTGAAATCAACACTGATGAATTTGGTGGGACACAGGCTACTCTCGTGTGGAAGGGGTTTGAGTATGCTGGTTTTTCCTCAGGAGATGCAAAGACCCCAGGGAACCCAACTCAGAGAACAGCACTATGACACCTTCCTTAACCTATCGAAGAAGTGCTTGTGGATGTAAAATTACAAGTTTTAGACAAGTAGATAGTTTTCACTACCTAATTTAAAGAAAAGGACAGGATTAAATATTGTAAGACTCTTAACTCCTTTGCACAAAAGAAATATTTTAAACATACATAATACAGGGCCAGGGAGATAGCTCAGTGGCACAGCGCCTGCCTGGCAAGCATAAGGTCATGAGTTTGATTCCTGGTACAAAAAAAAAAAACCATACATAATACAATAATAAGTCATACTTTTAGTGCCAGATCATAGAGACTAAAAACATTCCTGAACCATTTATATTTTAAAAGTAAATTTCTGCAATCTTGTATTCTATAAGAGCTAAAAAATAAAGTGGATTTTTATCCCTGAAAATATGAAAAACAATTACATTTATGTTTGATATTCAGGATACAAGGTTTTCTAGTATGCCCACAATCACATGAATCCCAAAACAACTTTTAAATGATATTTAAAAACATACTTACACTAACTCAAGTGCAATACCACCATTCCCTATGATCATTATTCTTTTAGCTTTAGTAAGCTGTCTCTGAAATTCCTATATTAAAAAGAAAAAGAGTTTTTGAAATAGTGAAGCAAAAGACTTCACTGATAATGTTCTAAAAATGTAAGTATTTCATCAGTTTACAAAGGAACAACAAAACTTGCTTCCCAGTCTGCCAGGGTGTATGTACCCTCCCAATCAGTATTCCCAGGTTCTGCTTCGTGTTTCATCGTAAGCTGCCTGTACTGCAGTGCCTCTCCTAATTTCCCTTGCCTATTACGTGATTACATATGAAGCCCTGCAGCATTTCAACCAGAGGCTTTCTGCACAATCCAAGCTCTGGACAGAATCAGTGAGTTTGCCTCTGCTAGCCTCTTCGATGACATGTCTCCCTAGGGTCCCTCAACAATGAAAACTTTTGGCAAGAAGTGCAGAGGCATGGCGGGTAAGAGCAGAGCCTGCAGCAGCGGTGGCGAACCTATGGCACACCTGTTTTTCTTCTGAGACAAAAAAATGTTAATGTATGAGTTGTTTTTTCTAAACTAAAATCTCAGTATTCCGGTTTTGGTACTCTGTGATAAATAAGTGGTTCTGGGTTACAGTTTGGGCCCTTGTCTCTGAAGGCTCCCCATCACAGTCTGGAGTCACTGGCTTTAGCAGCTCCTAACGCGATGACTGGGCACAGCTGCTTAACCTCTCTGGACCTCAGGTTCCTCAACTGTAGAGAAAAACAACTGACTACACGTCCTAACGTTTCTGTATGGACTGTGTGCTGTCATGTAGATAAAGCTATTATAAGTACCAGGCACATCATAAAGTCGCACATTTATTGGAAAAATGCTGTAATTACTATTATAAGACAAATTATCCCCCCCCCAAAAAAATAACAAAAGAGTATGATGAGCTAGGAAGAAGCTGGTGGTAACTCATCTGGCTCTTTCAAAAGTATAGTTTCACTGATTCAGAATGATCTCAGTGCAGAAAACGTTCCTCTACCTACTACTTTATTTCTAGCTTGTACTATTCTTTAAACTGACTTAATATTCTACAAAAAAAAACCCAAAAAACTGAGGTTGACTTTAGTTTGTCCTTCAGTGATGGCAGTGCAATTTAAGGAAGATCCGGACACCTTAAGAAAGTATATTGGACACAGATGAGAAGAATAAGTTTAAACTATACTTCCAGCTGGGTGTGGTGCTGCATGCCGGTAATTCCAGCACTCTGGGAGACTGAGGCAGGAGGATCCCAACTTTAAGCCCATCCTGGGAAATTTATTGACTTAGCAAGACCCTGTCTCCAAACAAAAAGGGAGGAGGGGTGGGGGCTGGGGATGCAGCTCCGTATGCAGGCACTGGGTTCATTTCCCAGTACTGCAGAAATAAAAGCAAATACTGTACTTTTGATCAACATAACAGTTGCCTTAGAATAGGAAAATACTTCGTCTTTTCATCTCAGCTTCTATTGTCAGATAATATTCTAGACACAGAAATATTTTATCCACTTTATTATGCAACAACAAAATCTCATTTTCCGACTCTGCCAGGACGCACCCTTCCCATTACTATGACAAGTGCTCCATTTATCGTTCATCCCAAGCTACCTTTGTAGCAAAGTTCTCTGGAGTACCATGAAGATTATCATGGGGATTCAATGAGTTCATGTATGTGGAAGGCCTAGCTGAAACAAGAATAAGCTCAAATCTCCAATGACATAAACCTCAACTGTTGACACAAAGATAGTCAAGTTCTCTTAATTTTCTCTAAATTCCTCATTAAGAGAAGACTAGGCTGAGAGAAATCATTGGCAGTTTTCAAGAACAGAAAGCATTGTATGATGCAAAGTCATCCCTCCTGGAACAGAAGAGTGAGTGTGAAGTTAGACAAAGCAGTGGGATGACATAAGGAGGAGCTTCTTGTCAGCACGGTTAACAAACTCTGAGGCACATCACCAGACAAAGTTGAATCATGCACTTTGAGAAGTGTCATCTCCCTTGGGTGGTTAATCACAATGTTAGCACAGAGCAATGAACTAACCAAGCAATAAACCTTTCTCAGTTCGATGATTCCATCGTGATTTCCACCTCCAAGATCTCATGAATATTTTCTTTGCCGTGGAATAAGACCAACACATTTTACATACGCTTTGCCATTTGGGAAAAAGATTATCACATTATTTAAGTGACAAATCACATTTCCCAGCGAGGAGTAAGGAATGTGTAATGTAAACTGTAATCTTCAACATAGTCACTGTATAATAGCTCAGAGCCAAAAGACTTTCTGAGATTAGCATGAAGTAAAAATTATCAACTAAAAACAAACTGAAGTTGACAATAATAACACATATTACTACTCTTTTTTTCCTTACTCTTTGAGGTAAGAGTCTCACTATGTAGTCCTGGCTAGCCTTGAACGTCTGATTCTCCTGCCTCAGCTGCTGAGTGCTGGGATTACAGGATTGTGACACCACATCCAGCTCATATAACCTCTATTTTTTTTATGAGTTGTGAAACAAAAACTTTCCCTCTGTTCTAATCAATGAGGAATTAACACTGTCAAGTGGAACACTTTTATTTAGATGCAGAAGCGTCAAAGGAATCTTCAGGTTTCCTTACTGTAACCCAAATTTAAAATGTTACCTGAGCACTGTCTGTATCACGGATTCCTAGCACATAAGGATTTCCTTCACATATCAGCTTTGGCTTGGCTCCTGCACACAGACAGAGTTTCTTATATATATGCTGATTGCCATCTTCTGTGAAAACACACTGTAAACACGGAGAGTAATGAAAGGAAGAGGGGAAGCAAATTCATGTAGGAATATGATTTAACTTTAAGTTGAAATTTCAGTAAGACAAAAGCTAAAATTAATATATTAAGGTTGCCACTTGATAGCACTCAATATTTAGAGCAATTACAAACCTCTAGTGATTTCTAAGTGGTAACTTTGAATAACATCAATGAGTCTAAAAAATATGTATTAGAGATGCACTATTTTTATTCCTTAACAGTGAATGGAAATCTACATACAGTAGTATTGTGCTACAGGGAGACGTGCTGCACTTTGCTGGAATGGTTTAACGGTTCACCTTTGTGCCACATACTGAGTTATATAACTTGGCACTTACCAACCATTTGGGACACTGAGTACCCAATTCAATGCTTCAGTTGCATGACAAACACAATAAACCAATACTCCACAGGATAATCCAAGCAGAAAATTATACACTTATGTTCCTACAGATAACTTGGTTAGAATTTTATCTGACAGAAATAGAAGATATTGGCATTGACCAAGCTTTAAAAATAATCCATATTTAGCAACTGAAAAAAGAAATCCAGATACAAAAACACTGTTCATTAGCTACTGCTAAATATTGGAAGTAGACATAAAGTCACACCCTACTTCTAATTCAAGGAAGTATGCACAGAGCAGCTAAGAGGGCAGATACACACTGCACGGACGATACTTTTCAAATGGCAGTGGCACGCAGTCTAATTCATCAAATCCTCTAATACTCAAATTCTCCTTTTTGAGAGTACAACTCAATTTACAAAATTAATTGATATGAATAATACTTGGAATGTCTTACCATTAAAAGTATCAGAAACTTACCTGCGTTTTAGAATTAAGGTTTTTAATTTTCTTCTCATACAATTTGATACTTCTATTAAATTATCTGTATTTCACTCATACATTAGAACTGCCTTACAGAAACAACTAAAACCCCCATTTCCCCTTTCTCTGATGTCCTCTGCAGAGATTTTAAAACACGTGACATCTTTTCCTGAGACTGTCTTACTCATTCTCAATTGCAAGGGTTTAGTGAGTCCTGCTGAATGTATAGGAGAAATACCCTTAAATGTGGGATATTGTTTCCAACTACATTTCCCATCTTAATCCAGGCATCATATCGACTGCAACTGCTATTTAATTTGGCTGTTGGTCACTAACTCTATCTCGGTTCATCCTCCACAATGCTGTCAGATATAGCTTACTAAAAAAATTTTTAGCATCCGTGCCCCCAGATTTACAAATCTGACTGAATACAACAAAGACCCAATTTCTTAGAATGACACAAAAAGTTCTTCACAATCTTACCTATTTCCCTAGCCTTGCTGGCCAGATTCCTTTACTTTTCCATACCCTAATCCCTCTGACATCCTTATGATTCCTCATCCCCCTTTTTCTTTCTTAGGTCTTTGAACATGTAATCTGCTTTTCATCTTTGAAGCCTGACTTAAATGTAACATTATGCCTTCCTGAGCACCTAATGGCAGAATTTTGGAAACATTTTCATGACTGTGCTTTTTATATGTCCATATAGTTATACAGTATATATATCAATACATGGTGACCCTGGTGACGCTGACCATTTTTAGGAGCAGGTACATTGTATTATTCCTATTATATCCCAGAAACTAATGTAGTACCAGCACGTAAGGGACACTTATAACCCAGAACAACTCCCCTGCAGTGTGAATTTTCTAATAATGAAAATCAGTGCCACTAAACTTTACATTTTAGAAACTGAAATGGTGGTGGTGATACAAGCAGGCTCAAAGGAAGATAAGCAAAACCTTGCCAACACTGAATGTGGAAATATATCATTTAAAATGTTTTGCTTACGTGTTCTTTACTCTTCAGCTGCTTTACTCCAGATTCTATGACCTTAATGTTAGGAAAGCGACTTTCTAACACAGTACTTGGTTGTTCCTCAACATCAAATTCTTCCAATGTTTTGGAAACCTATATTAGATCCAAGAGGAAAAAGGTATACTTTAAACAGTTATTTTAGTTCAAGAATCTCAATAAAATATTTTCATTTGTGACTATCCATTACTATTTCAAGTTCATAAAACAAGAAAGTTAGCCAACTGCACTGTTATGGTTTGGATCTTATATGTTCCTCAAAGGCTCATATGCTAAAGGCTTGGTCACCAACTTGCGGTGCTATTAGGAAGTGGGAGAAGCCTAAAGCATAGGTAACAAAACCAAAAATAAGTAGAATTATATTAAAATAAAAAGTTTCTCCATAGCAAAGGAAACAATTATTATAATAGGGTGAAAAAAGAACTCAGAGTGGCAAAAATATTTGCAATCCATATTTGTGATAAAGTATTAACATCTCAAATATATTAGGAACCCAATCACTCCATATTAAAAAACCAAATAACCCAATATAAAAATAGGCAAAGGATCTAACTAGACATTTCTCTAAAGACATAAACACTGCCAACAGAAATTTAAGAATGTGTTCAACATTAGCACAAGTGCTAATCGCTAGGAGAAAGAAAATCAAAACTAAAACGAGACATCTCACGTTCGTTTTGATGGCTATTATTCAAAAGAAAGAAGATAACAAGTGTTGGCAAAAAGTGGAGAAAAGGGATCCTTGCCTCAGTGTTGGTGGGAATGTAAATTAGTATAGTCTTACAGAAAACAGGAAGTTCTTCAAGAAAATTAATAATTAAACTACCATATGATACCACAATACCACAACTGGGTATATATCCCAAAGAAATTAAACTGACATGTTGAAGAGATATCTGTACTCCTATATTCATTCCAGCATTATTCATAATGGTTAAGGCAGGAATCAACCTAAGTGTCCACCAATGACTGAGTGCATAAAGACAATGTAATACACACAATGGAATACTATTCATGCTTTAAAAAAAGAAGAAATCCTGTCAGATGTGACAACATGAATGAACATGGAAGACATTATGCTAGGTGAAAAAGCTAGGTGCAGAAAAGCAAATACTGCATGATTTCACTTACATGGGAAGTATAAAAGTCAAACTCATAGAAACAGAAAAGTAAAATGGTGGTTAACAGAGACATAAGTACAGGCACTGTGGAGATTTTGTTCAAAGGATAGAACATATTATACAACAGGAATAAATTCAAGAGATCTAATGTACATCTTGATAATGGGAATAGTGATATACTGTACATATTCGGCACTTGCTAAAATAATACTAAATTTTAAATGGTCTCATAAAAATGATAGTGAGGTAATGCATATATATTGAAAACTCGATTTAGCAATTCCACCTTCTATATATCTAGCCAAATATGTTGTATACTATAAACATATCCAATTGTTACCTGTCAATTAAAAAAAAAGGAGTAAAAAACACCATTAGAGCATTTCTTTTTCAAACTAAAACTAAGAAAGTTACAAAAAAAGATTCTCACCTGTTTAAAATTGGTAACTGCTTTAATAACAGGAGAAGCTGTGACCAGGAGAATCTCTTCTGATGGAAAGCTAACAGCCAACTTATTTTTAAAAAGAGAAAATTATGATAATATTAGGTATTGCTCTAAAATTAAGTGTGGGAGTATGGGATAATAAAGTTTTAATAACGTTACTAATCTAGGAAATCCAAAACTCTTGGGTCTCATATAAAGGTCTGTATTATTTGAGGTCTTGTTTATATTTATAGAGAACTGTTAAACTCATATATTGATAAAATGAATACATTTACACTGAACAGTAACAAAGGCCTCCTGAACAAGGAAAGTAATGTACAGAAATATCCTTTAAATTATTTTGTACACCAATTTAAAGTTATCACAGACATAAGAAATTACCTTTCCAAAAAACAGTTAAGTCACTTCTATTTATTTTAAAATAATATTTTAATTTGCCTTCACTGGGATGAAATTAAAGCAAACTCTCAATATTAACCTACATTACCAATCTAATAAGAGTCCTGTTTCTAATTTTACTATTCCTCTAAACCTAAGCATGTTCATGTCACCTACAAACTCTTAAAACATGTAAGATTATTTTAGTTTCATCCTAACAGAATTTTCTATTAACATTTGACAATATTATCTATCCATCTTTCCTTTGTACATTCTGCAATTTATCTCCCTTCTGTTCCCATTATTTGGCCATGTTTACAAAGCTTTTTTTTTCCCACAAAGCTTTTTTATACTACTGAAATCACCTTGAAATTGGCCTTCCAGTCTCATAAGCAGTATTAACCAGTTGCCATGGCCCCCAAAACATAACTAATCATCTGTCAACACAATTCACTGGATTACTTTACTTCACTGCTTAAAAATCAAGAGATTCGTAAGCTCTTGTTTTTAGCATGACTTAAAAAGCACTTTATGATCTGATCTCTGCCAACCTTTGCTGATTAAAGCTCCCATAAATTCTCAAGAGTATCATGCGCTTTATTTAAACTTTGCTGCTCCCAGATGGTGCTGCTTTTCCACTGGACAGTATACTGTTGCCTCCCTTTCGAATGCTTTCCTGTTCTTCTCATTCATTCTTTGACAAAGAGATACAAGGATATCTCACGAAAAGAGACCTCTTTCTTAAATTAACTCCCTACCGAACTCCACAGGCACTCCTAAGATTAACAGTTAACACACAGATGGAACGATTTATTTATGTCTGTTCTACTAGAACATGAATCCCGGGGAAAGCTCACCCACGCTCTTTACACTTGACTATAGTACTCAGAGCCCTTAGTATGGTGCCTGTATTATAATGTGTACCTGGCAAACAGAAAACACACATCTGAAGATTGAAATTAAAAACAAAAAATTCTTTCACTACTCCTTAAAACCAGTAAGTGCTTGTTTATATCGACAAAATACTCGGGTTTTTTTTTTTTTTTTAGGGGGGGTTGCCTACACGTATATGAATATATATATAGTCCCGTTATTAGTATCAGAAAAGTATTCCCTAGTTGTATTTATTTGCCGGTTCTGTTACCAAACAATACTGAAGATGAAGTCTCTTTCACCTTGGGAGTTCAAAGTACAGGAAATTCATGCAAGCGTTTCTTTATTTGTTAGCTATGATGCACTAAGGATCTGGCACTTCTCTACAATTCAATCAGCTAAGGTAATTTTAAAAGCGCACAGAATTTTTGTCCAAATACAAATAAAGCCCTCTTGTCGGTTCTGCCATTATTAAGACCAGATCCTGGGCATGCCAACTTTGATTTCCTTGCTATTGCTTCCCACAGTTCTTGCTCCTGCACCAGCCATGAAGCTCTGCGAAGAACCAAGGACTTCGCCTGGCCGCACCACGCAGCTTTTAGCTCCCGAAAGCAGAGGGCAGAGGGACAAGGGGGCGTGGCCAAAAGAGTCCCGGAAGAGCGGCGAGAGCGGTCGCGGGAGAGGCCCTCAGGGCTTCCGCCTTTGGGGTGGGGGAAACTCGCCGTACCTGCTCCGCACACGTGACGCCCGCGATCCCACCGCCCACCACCACGAACTTCCCCATCGTCGGACGCTGGCGCGCGACCCCCGCGCCCTCGGAATTCCGCGGGTTTACTGAGCACAGTGGAGAGCTTCGGATTTTGCCCTCCCAGAGAGGAAGCCGCAGCTCGAGGTCATTTCCGGTGCCTGATCCAAAGACTTCGACCTACGGGTGCCCGGAGGCTCCTACTTAATCTTCTTGCATAGCCTACCCTCGGCTGCTCTTCACAGGTGCTGAGGCGTTTTATCTTTTCGGGTCTTTGCGTTACTGTTCATTTGTCTTCATGACGTTTTCCCACGACGGTTTGATAAAAAATAAACCAAGACCAGAAAAAAAAAAAAAGAAAAAAGAAAAAAAAGGAGTCGCTGAAAGGCGAATTGTTTTCAAGTTCTCACTTGGCTACTTTCAGAAATAAAATACAGAGTAGCATGTTCTTTAAATTCTTAGTGGTTGAGGGACCTTTCAGGAAACGTCTTGTTAGCACAGCCCTCTACTTGTTGCCTCTTACCTCATGATTGAATTTTTAAAATTTGTGTCGGCACGTTCTTTATGACAAGGAAATTCAATACTATTGAATTTTTTCTGTAAGTAGTAAGCATTTCCATTTGCTACTTGGAGCTCAGGTGAAACTTTTAGTCGCTTGCTGTCTTGTTCAGTTACATTTTTCTTAAGGTTTCCAGTAAATAGCGTACTGATAGAAGTGTTCTTAATCCTAATTTTACTGTTAATGCCGTTTTTCTGTTATTTGTTTGTTTGGAGAAAGTTCTAAAACAGTTTTTGCTGTCTCAGAATACTTTGCTTAAGAATGATATCGTAACCTTAAGGTAGTATTTCTCAAATGGATCACTAAGACTGATGCCCCTTTCTTTGTTTTTTTTTTTTGTTTGTTTGTTTGTTTCACTAAGACTGATGCCCCTTTCTTTGTTTTTTTTTTTTGTTTGTTTGTTTGTTTTCTCCGGTACCGGGAACTGAACTCATGATCTTGCGCTTGCCAGGCAGGCGCTTTGCCGCTGAGCTAAATCCCCAGCCCCGATGGCCCTTTCTTTAAACTCCGAGGATAACTATTCTATATAAAAAGAAAAAAAATGCTACATGGCGAAATACAGATGTTTACTGATACCTATAATAGTTATTGTGCTTTCATTTACTAGGTTAAATGGTAAGCAGTTCAATAAGTAATTCTATTTCCTGTTTTCTAGTTTAGACAAAACATTTCTAGGAGAAAATAGTTCTTTAATCCCATTTGGATCTAATTTTCCATTTGCAGTTCATTTTCACATGAGATCATGTGCTCCATTTAGACTGAACTACAGTTACACTTTCAAGATACGTCATTGTCTTTATTAAGCATTTGCTCGTACACTTTCACCAACTATTTTTCCTTAGCTAATTCTTCACTGATCTATAGTTACATCAAGCCTAAAAACTTTATATTTAATATCCAAACTGGGCGTGTTCTTTATAGTCCCACAGCACCTTGTCATCCCCAGAATTTATACTTAACCCACCCTACTACTCAATTTCACCCCATCATAAACTCTTTAATCTCAGGGATTATTTCTCTTTCCCTTTATATCCCCAATGTTTAGTAGTAGGTGTTAAACAAAAATTAGGAAGTGGGTGGAATATGAGACTACTCTGAAGGCCTTTCAAAGTCATCCGGAGGGGCTGGGGATTTAGCTCAGCGGCAAAGCGCCTGTCTGGCAAGCGCAAGGCTGTGAGTTCGGTTCCCGGTACCGGAGAAAAAACAAACAAACAAAAAAAGACACACAAAGTCATCCGGAGTCAAGAACCTCTTGTATATAATGATAGGTGTTTCCCGTTTGCCTAAGTAAAACAGCCTGCAACTCAAACTCAAGGAAATGGACAGGGCTACCAAAGTTGCAGATGGGAAGAAAGTCAAGCAGTAGGAAGGTGCTCTCTCAAATGCAAAGGGATGGTGATGCAACCCCTTTTTCTCTTTCCTCCTTGACATCTGGCCTTTGTCAAGGAGATATAGTGATAAGATATACCTGGATATTTAACATTTACAAATTTCTAAATATTAAGGAACTTTCACTGGCCTAAACATTTAAGATTCAGAAATTTCTAACTATTAAGGAACTGACCTGGATACTGGCCAGGATATTTAACATGTAGAAATTTGTAAACAGTAAGGAACTTTCAGGGAAGCACACTAAGAAAAGGCTCTCAGTATGTCTTAGTGTGGATTGATTTAATTAACAAAGTATGCTGGGCACAGAGTGAGACTTCCATAACCATGAAATATGATCTCAAGAGGGTGGTGATGGTAAGGGCTGGAGAAAGGGCAAAGCAGGAAAAAACTGGACTGGTAGAAAAAGGAGAGGATTAGTGTTAAGAAGCAACAAAGAAACAGAAAAGAGAATGGCTGCTGCCTTTTAACTCTAGCTGGGAAGCTTAGGAATGAAGGATACACAACTTGGTGAATGTTTCTGAGGAGCAAAAGAAAGACCGATGTGTTGCTAAATATTATGGTGTATAAATGTATAAAGGGGAGGAGTGGACAAGGAAAGGTTCATAAAGGTGGTGATTATTCTGAACCTCAAAGGCCCCATATGCATTCAGAAGAAAAGAAATCCAACAAAAAAGGTCTCAAGAATTAAGGCTTAGTGTCAGAGATGATCATGAAAATTCAAAAGACAGTAAAAGAAAAATGCTTAGGGAGTTAATGATTCATCTGACAAAACTGAGGGCAACAAAATAATTTTTTGTTATCCCTCTTAATATTCTCATAGCTGATTTATAGCCCCATGTATTCTCTCAGAGGTCTAACTTTTCAATTATCGAATTAAATCTAGCTTCACATTTTTCACCAACTTAATTTCATTACTGTATAAAAGAAGAATATTTAATTTCTTTGAGCTGCCCGATTGAAAATAAAGAACAGTGAAATTTCATGGAGTAGTTAATGATTAACAGCTCTGAGACAGATCAGTGGATTTGAAGCAATAGTCTTTCCTTGGTATGTGACCTTTCAGTGAGAGAGTTACAGTATTTGAGCTTAGCTTCTTCCTTGGCAAAGTGGCTACAAGATCTAGTACTTAGCTAGAGTTGTTTGATGGGTATGAGTTAACATATTTAAACTCCCTAGCACATCTTGCCACCTAGTGGGTTTAAGAGTTGTGTACTGTTGAATAATCTGTTTATGCAGCATTTCATCTGTGCTCCTGACCTCAGTGAGTTTCAAATTATCTGTCCACAGTGATCCACTTCTTCCTATCAGACTTTACTTCCCAACATTATACACAGGTATAAACCCCATTGGTGGATTAATCCAGTGCCAAACACCCATGATCCAGTGAACTCCCAAAAGCCCCCCATGAGGCTTTGAGGGAACATATAGCTATAAACTGTATTAAAGATCAACTAGACAAAAAAAAATCAACAAAGAAATACCAGAGTTCAACCAAGTTTTTGAACAAATTGGCTTAATAAATACTTACAGAGTGTACCCAACAGAAACAGAATATAATTCTCCTCAGCAGTATATGGAACTTCTGCCAAAACAGACGACATACTAGCCAATAAAGCATTCTTAAATCTGTGCAAAAGAATAAAAATTATACCATGTAAAGTGTCAGATTCATTGTGCAATGAAATAAAAATCAATGGCAAAAGAAACCACAGAAATTATGCAAATAGATGGAAATTAAACAATACACTCAAATAATCAATGGGTCACAGAAGATATCGAAGAAGAAATGACAATTCCTAGAATTAAATAGTAATGTTAGGACAACATACCAGAACTTCCTGGAATCAACGAGAACAGTCCTAAGAGGGAAGCTGATAACTGAGTGTCCACATCAGAACAGGGTCAGCCCAAATAAATTACCTAATACTGTACCTCACAATTCTAAAAATAAAAAAAACAAGAACAACCCACATCCAAAGCTAGGTAATAAAAGGAAAGACATTGTAAAATCAGAGCAGCAATCAATGAAATTGAGACAAAAGATAAAAATAATAAGTCAATGATATGATTCTTTGAAAGAATAAACAAAATAGAAAACACTTAGCTAATCTTACAAAAAGGAAAAGGGCTAAATCAATGAAATTAGAAATACAAGATGAAATCACAATGGACACTGCTGCAACCCAGAAAATTATTAAAAACTGCTTCACAAAACAGTATGCTAATAAATTTGAGAATTCACAAAAAATAGATAGGTTCCTAGATACATATAAACTACCAATGGAACCAAGAAGGTATCAAAACCTGGAATATCCCAAAGAAATTGAAGCAATAATAAAAAATCCTATGATTAAGAAAAGCCCAGGTCCTGAGGGAGTCATTGATAAATTCTACAAGAATTTTAGGGAAGATCTAGCACCAACACTCCTCAATCTCTTCAACAAAATTGAAAGAAAGGTGTACTTTCAAGGTCTTTCCTGAAAGTGAGCATTACCCTGATTCCAAAACCAGACAGGAATCCAACCAAAAAACTACAATAGAGGCCAATCTTTTTAATAGCCATAGATGTGAAAACCCTCAACAAGATATTGGCAAACAGACTGCAACAAGTCACTGAAAGAGTTCCTAAATCATGGCTAAGTCGACTTCATGCAGGAATGTGGGAATGGCTGAACATATGCAAGGCAATAAATGTAATACGTCTCATAAACAAAAGCAAAGACAAGAATGACATGGTTCCTCTCAAATAGATGCAGAAAAACCTTCGACAAAATTGAACTTTCATTCCTGACAAAAACTTTGGGGAAAATAGAGATAATAGGACTTTAACTCAATCTAATAAAAAGCATTTATAGTAAACCTACTGCCAACATCATATTAAATGGGGAAAATGAGAAACCTTTCACTCTAAAATCCAGAATAAGAGAAGAATATCCACTCTCATGACTCCTGTTCAATACAGTACTCAAAACATCAGCCAGACCAATCAGGAAAGAGAAAGAAATCATGTATTTTTCAATGATCAGGTGACATGATCTTCTACATAGAGACCCAAGAAATTCTACCAAAGCTACTAGAATTAATAACCAAAATTACTAATCATACAGGATACAAAATCAACACACAAAAACAATAGGGTTCCTGTATAGCAATCATAAACTCACTGAGCAAGAAATTAGGAAACAATGCCA